TGAGATACACATTGAGCTACCCACTACAATGCGACACACGTTGAGGTACCCAATACAATGAGATGCACCTTGAGGTACCCGGTACAATAAGGTACATTTGAGGTACCCAACACAATGAAATACACCCTGAGGTACCCAGTACAATGAGATATACCTTCAATAACTCGATACAATACAGTAAACTACACCGTGGAGTTCCTGATACAAAAACATGCACCTTGAAGAACCCAATAAAAGAAATACACTTTCAGATATCCAATACAATGAGCTACATCTCGTGGTTCCCATTTCAATGCACCCAATACAAATAGATACACATTGAAATACCCTATACGATAAGATACCCCTTGATGTATCCTAAATAATGATGTACTTCCTGAAATACCCAATAGAATGAGCTAGATTTCGTGGTGCTCAATACATTGAAACACACTTTGAGGTACCCAATACAATGAGATACGCCCTGGGGTATCCAATACAATGAGATACACCTTGAGATACCCAGTACAATGAGATACGCCCTGGGGCATCCAATACAATGAGATACACCTTGAGGTACCCAGTACAATGAGATACGCCCTGGGGTATCCAATACAATGAGATACACATTGAGGTACCCAGTACAATGAGATACGCCCTGGGGTATCCAATACAATGAGATACACCTTGAGGTACCAAATACAATAAGATACACCTTCAAATATCCAGTATGATGATATACACCTTGACTTATTCGACACAATATTCATTCATTCATTCTGAGATAGCCAATACAATGAGCTACATCTCGAAACAGTCTTATGGTTACTCAACATAATTTGTTGTTACTACAGATAAAGAGGCAACAAAAGGCAAAGCTTTTAGTTATAGTTTTTTTTTCGTAGAATCTGAAAAACTGAATGCAACAATATAGTGAAGAACGTGAAGTCAGGGTCTTTATAAACGTTTTATAAAGATACATTTTTATTAATTAAATCAGATGTTAGATTTCAAATTGACCAATCCATCACTGATTTTATATCATTTCTGATATCCCAGAGCTTAACACCATACACACATGGGCTTTAAAGTTACTTTTATATACTTCTATACTACAATCTCGGTGCTGTCTGGCGTTTTGACTGTGCGAAGTACTTCATAAGTATATTTGAAACACTTTCAATATGAGAAACAATTATAAATTACGAGAACTGTTCTTGTGATTATAGAATCACAGTCGCTCTATCCCTCTATATGATAGAGGGGCTATAATATCATATACATCAACATAACATATATCATCAAGGACGGGGACTTTATGTTAAAATGTCAGCTATACAAAAATTGAACACAGAACATTCTCAACTCAATTAAACACCTTTCTGAAGGCAACACTGATACAAGCTTTATTAACGTACTTTGCACAAAGAATACGGTCATGCTAAAATATCTAGCAAAATACATATACATGTACTTCAAGGTGTATCTCATGAAAATATATGAATGTTTCAACCTAAGAAAAAAAAACAGATGCCTCACAGATATCTAATTAAGTAATTCATATATTTACTTTAACCCATTTTCGGGCACGTTTTTTT